TGGTAAGGATGATAAATGAGTGGGCTTGGATAGACGATCACAATGAACTATAGTGGTCGTCCTGAGATATTTTAATTAAATACACGTCTGCCTTGCTCTTACTGAACGTAGGTACTAGTCTTCACCACTGAATTACTCACATAGGTGTAAAACTTCATACAAATACATCGTTTATATACAATGACTTGTTTCTGCAGCCATATCTGCACACAGAGGCTTACACAGGGGTGTTTTCCTTCCCCACAGACGGAGACCGTGCTGGAGGCTGGAGTGGTACCCATCTACGCTTACCTCCTGAAGACGGGGCAACACAACACCAAGAAGGAGGCAGCTTGGGCCCTCTCCAACATCACCGCCGGCAACCATAGTCAGATACAGAGAGTGATTGATGACGGGGTCCTTCAGGTCCTCCTTCATGCTCTCTTGGAGGTAATTTCAAAGTTTTGGTCTCGTAGAATTCTAGGAGATTAAGATGTTAATATTTAAAAGTCCTCGTTTCCTGATCTACGAAAACCATTTTCAGTCGACGTCATATTGTATTTCTCCCTAAACACATCTTGAAAAGGCTCATTCAAAATATACTTGGACAGAGGAAGCCTTTTATTTAAACATGTTTTTCTCTCGGTGGATAAGTTGATTTATCAGAAGCGCTAAACCCGTTTGGATCATGCAACGCTGCACAACGAGATTAAAGTCTTACTCTGTCTACGTATCTTCGACTCTTTTCAGTTTGCATACACAACATTAAAGGTCTTCCTTGGACTTCCTCAGACCCTTATCTGCCCCCAGACATCGGATGTGCGACGAGAAGCAACCTGGGCTCTGTGCAATCTGACGACGGGAGGCCTCGCTGAGCAGGTCAAGGCTCTGGTTGATGCTGGTGGAGTGCCTTTCCTGCTGATGGTGATGGCTGGGGGAGAGGTCAGCACCATCTCCGTGGCACTCAACACGCTTGATAATATACTCAAGGTGATTTAAGACTGGTAGCACTCTAGGGCAGAGATGAAGAAGGGAGTAAATTTGAGACTTAAAATATCCTCACATTTGCAAATTATTAACCCAGTTGAATCTTCTGCTCTATTCTCTCTTAAGCTCTATGACTCCTATGGGTTTTTGTACTTCATGTTCAATATTATGATAAATATACCTCTTCATTTCGTTGATGCAGACGGAGGTGGTGAAAGAGGAGGCAAAGGAGCAGGTGATCTCAGGGAAGGGCGTGGAGCTTCTGAAGGAGCTGGAGCAGTGTGCCAGCAAGGATCTCCACCTGAAAGCAGAGTACATACTGGAGGCATACTTCCAGCAGGAGGAACCCTCTGACAAAGAGGATGACAAGGACGACGTCCCAGAGGAGGAGCCCAGTGCCAGCTAGGAGGACGGGGAAAAGGAACTGGGAAAAAAATCTATGACAGAGAGGACTGAGAGTAGCACTGAAAGATGATGAAAGGAAGAGGTTTGAAACAAGCTGAGTCAAGGGTAGGAAGAGGAGGATGGGTGTGAGAGTAGAAACTTACATCTTTCGTAAAAACTCTGGGGGGGGGGAAACATCACTTTTTTTTTTTAATGAGACACTGGCACGGATGCAGGGAAGAAATGTGATTTGGAAATGGGATTTTATGGATTTTGCTCCCCAGTGGGCAGTGCCACTCATGTTATGAGTGGGTATGCTAACATCCAGACATTATTGGGTAACCCCCTCTCATACTGTGAGTGGACACAACACCACAGTCATACTGTGAGTGGACACAACACCACAGTCATACTGTGAGTGCATATAACTCCATCAACACACTGAATTTCGACCCAGAAGTGGAAACCAGGAGTCTGGTGGAACGGTGTGCTGTATCACAAGTGACAGGTGTGTGTGTGGAACACACTACATGTGTGTGCTGCATCATAAGTGGCAGGTGCAGCGAGTGACAAGTGGCAGGTGCAGCGAGTGACAAGTGGCAGGTGCAGCGAGTGACAAGTGGCAGGTGCAGCGAGTGACAAGTGGCAGGTTCAGCGAGTGACAAGTGGCAGGTGCAGCGAGTGACAAGTGGCAGGTGTGCTAAAATACAGGTAACTGCGATACAAAAAAAATGCATTTTAGTGTAAATATTAGTTTTTGGCATTTGTTAACAGATATTAAATTGATTTGTCACAATATACCTTATGTATCCCCTGGTATCTTATGTGTCCCGTGATCTCTTATAAGAGTTAGTATAATTACTTGATATTTCTTACTGATATTCCTTACTGATATACTGATTTTTGCTCATCCAATACTCCCCTGAAGGTACACACACACACACATACACACACACACACACACACACACACACACATGTACACTACGGACCTTGACGTGATATACGACATTTTTACTTCGCCAATTCTCAGTGCCTTAACAAGTGATATTTCTTGATTACCATTGATGAGTATTTTAAGCCTTGTGACCATACTAAATAAAGTTTAATCTTAATGATTGATGAGTGTGATTACCCTCGTTGATGAGTCTATTTATCTATTTATCTATCTACAAAATACATTGGCCAAACATTCACAAAAATACAACAGAAAGTAAAACAACATAGGTAACTCAGAGCTGCATCTCGAATACTTCGTCCAGCTCCCCTGCGGTGGGCCGTGTGCCCAGAATGCTGCAGGCATTTCCTCTCTGGATCGCAACACTGAGTCTCTGAAAGAGGAAGTTGGTCGCCCTGTGGTCCTTGGTTTCTATGATGAGCTTTTCCCCCAGCTCTTTGAGGAACTTTATATATATATATATATATATATATATATATATATATATATATATATATATATAATATATATATATATATATATAGAAGGAGAGAGAGAGAGAGAGAATGAAAGTGTAATGAACACTTGGGTAAATACTCACTAATAAGCTATATGAAGATAAACTCAGACAATTAACTGGTCTTTATATTTCGGTTCCTCTCTGGGATCCTCTTCACACAAGGAGATCAAAATATACAGATCAATTAATTTTCGGAGTTTCTGTCTCCATGTGGGTTATTATTTATTTTTTCTTCTGTTTTCCTCTTCGCTCCTCTTCCTCCCTCCCTTCCTTCCCTCCCCTCTCTTGCTTCCCTCTCCCCCCCTTCCTTCCCTCCCCTCTCTTGCTTCCCTCTCCCTCCCTTCCTTCCCTCCCCTCCCTTGCTTCCCTCTCCCTCCCTTCCTTCCCTCCCCTCTCTTGCTTCCCTCTCCCTCCCTTCCTTCCCTCCCCTCCCTTGCTTCCCTCTCCCTCCCCTTCCTTCCCTCCCCTCCCTTGCTTCCATCTCCCTCCCTTGTTTCCCTTCCCCCTCCCTTGCTTCCCTCCCCCTCCCCTGCTTTCCTCCCCCTCCCTTGCTTCCCCCCCTCCCCTGCTTCCCTCCCCCTCCCTTCCTTCCCTCCCCCTCCCCTGCTTCCCTCCCCCTCCCCTGCTTCCCTCCCCCTCCCCTGCTTCCCTCCCCCTCCCTTGCTTCCCTCCCCTCCCTGCTTCCCTCCCCCTCCCCTTCCTTCCCTCCCCCTCCCCTGCTTCCCTCCCCCTCCCCTGCTTTTCCCTCCCCCTCCCCTGCTTCCCTCCCCCTCCCTTGCTTCCCCCCCCCTCCCCTGCTTCCCCCCCCTCCCTTCCTTCCCTCCCCCTCCCCTGCTTCCCTCCCCCTCCCCTGCTTCCCTCCCCCTCCCCTGCTTCCCTCCCCCTCCCTTGCTTCCCTCCCCCTCCCCTGCTTCCCTCCCCCTCCCTGCTTCCCTCCCCCTCCCTTGCTTCCCCCCCCTCCCTTCTTCCCTCTCCCTCCCCAAAAATACACAGAACACGATGAATACTAAAATGATTCGACGTTTTTAATGCACACCAGATCCATAATCAAGGTTTTAAATTGGTGGCATTAGTGTGTGTTGTGTGTGTGTGTGTGTGTGTGTGTGTGTGTGTGTGTGTGTGTGTGTGTGTGTGTGTGTGTGTGTGTGTGTGTGTGTGTGTATGTGTGTGTGTGTGTAGGGTTAGGAGAGTGGTCGCGTAGGGGGTGGGGAGAGGATAATGGGGTGAGGGTGGGAAAGGAAGTGGAGGTGGTGGAGTGTCACTCATCAGTCTGTTGGTGCTGGCATACCACAGAAGCAGTGATACAATCTCCACTGAAGACCTCTACACTGGTTCCAGCAATATTTCTGACATCTGTTGGCAGCAGGTTGAAGAGCTTTGACCCACGGATGTTGATACAGTGTTCTCTTATTGTGTCCACGGCTCCGATGCTTGTCACTGGGTCTAATTTACACTTCCTCCCATATCTCTTACTCCAGGAGATTGTTAAGGTATTGCGTGTATTTGAAACCAGATACTTCGTTATCTTCCATTTGTTTATTATTAGATTTCTTTCTCTCTCTCTTTCTTTCCTTTATTTCTAGAGTGTCCATTCTCAGTGCTCTGAGGTGTTCTCAGTAAACTAAATGCTTCATTAGCTCCATCTGGCCATAAATGATGTCTATATCAGGTTCAGCTCTAAGTCTCTCCTGCCTAGAACGGAGTCGTCAACACTGAACAGTACTCTCAGCTAGAGAGCCTTAATTCTCGTGTTTTTCCTGTTTTGAAAGTTCTCATTATCCACCCTGTCATTCTTGCTTTGTTATGCTCTTTCAGTGATAGGTCAGCTGACCTTATGACTTCTTCTTATATATATTTCTTATATTCTATGGGGGCGGTACTCTTGTGTTTTTTTGAGATAGTCTGTAAGGGTGTCTCGTCACAGAAGAGACTGCGAGAGGGTCGTGTGAGGGAAGCATGTGCAGGTGAGGGAAATGTGTGAGGGGATTGGGGAGCATGTGAGGGAAGCAGGGGAGTAGGGGAGTGTATGAGGGGTAATCGTGTGACGGGGGAACAGGCAAGGGGTGAGGGGGGAGTGTATGAACGGTAGGGAGTGAAAGATGGGTATGGGATCATGTGAGGGGAGCATACGAGTGAGGGGAGCGTGTGAGGGGGAGAGGGGAGGGGACACACCATACAAACACACCCCTCTATATCACTCAGAAATATGTGTACACTTTTTTTCCATAATTTCATTTTTGTTTGATGTTATAAATATTGAGCATTTTGAGGGGCCCCGGGCAGGGGCCCCGGGCAGGGGCTCCGGGCAGGGGCCCCGGGCAGGGGCTCAGGACAGGGGCTCAGGACAGGGGTTGCAAATGGATACGCCGTTGTTTTATTCATTTTTTTAATTGCAAATTGATGTTATTTTTCACTATCAATAACATTGGCGGCCATTTTTATTGTTGTTGTTTTGATACACACAAACACACACACGCACACACACACACGCGCGCGCGCGCGATACAGCACCTCACAAGAGCCTCGCACAACAGCTGGAGCAACAGGCAGGAATTACAGAGACAGCACTACAATGGATCAAGGAATACTTAACGGGAAGGAAGCAACGAATTACTGTCAGGGAGGATGTGTCGGAAAGGGCGAGCGTAACGAGTGGGGTTCCACAAGGGTCAGTACTTGAACCAGTACTGTTGTGTATATGAACGAGATGGATGGAAATCGAGTCTTAGGCGTCCCAGTTTGCAGACGATGTGAAGTTAATAAGGTCAGTACAACTGGAGTAGACCAGAAAAGACTACAAATGAATCTGGACAAGCCGTAGGATGATTCTTAAAAATGGTTATTTAAATTGGACGACAAAGACGACCGTAAACAGTGTACAGTCTCGGGGTACATAAGCTGCAAACTTTCCTGTAAGAAAACGACCTCGGGGAGAGCATAGTTCCCAACATCTCACCTGAGGTACATAAGCAAATAACCGCTGCAGCAAAGGCGAAACTGGCAAATTTAATAGCAACTTTCAGGAACATCAACATGGAGACATTCACGACCTCACACACAGCATATGACCGGGTTATCTTGGAGTACGTAGCTCCAGTATGGAACCCGCATCTGGATAGCATGTAAAGAAGCTGGAAAAAATGCAAAGGTTTGCAACCGAACCAGTTCCAAAGCTGAGGGATATGAACTATGAGGAGAGGCTAGAGGAGGTAAACTGGCGACACTAGTGGACAGAAGAACCAGAGGTAACATGATTACGACGTACAAAATGTTGAGACTAATTGACAGGATGGACAACAAGAGTTTGTTTGAGAGGTGAGTCGCAGGTACACGAGGCCACAAATGGAAGTTAAAAGTGCAGATGAATCACAGGGATGTTAGGAAATACTTCTTTAGCCGTAGAATAGGAAGTGGAACGACCTAAACAGCGAAGTGGTAGAGGCAGAATCCACACATAGCTTTAAGGTTAGGCATGATAGGGATTTTGAAGCTAGGAGGGAATTAAACCATTAGTGTCCAGCAGAAAGGCGGAGCCAGGAGCTGAGACTCGACCCCTGCAACCACAGTTAGATTTATCTACCTACCTGGAGTCTACCTGGAGGGTATTGTGGGAATCAACGCCCCCGCTGCCCGGTCCTTGACCAGGCCTCCCGGTGGATCAGGACCTGATCAACGAGGCTGTTATTGCTGGCAGAACGCAGTCCAACGTACGGCAACGACTCCAGCTCCCTCTTGAAGGCAGCCAGAAGTCTAATAGTAATTTTTTTTTAAAACCTGGTGGGGGGCTGTTGAAAAAAAGTTTGGGCTAGGACATTACTGTGTTTTCTTTTAAAATTGTACTAAGGGCGCCCCAATTTTTTCTCAGGAGTATGTTGACTCCTCTCGGTTTTTGCTTTCGTAGGGGAGTGATTTGTTGAGGGGAAAGAAAAGGGCCAGTCCCCCCCGGATTTTCAGTTTTTTGATTTTGATTTATCATGATGGCCCCACCCCACACACACACAAACAACACACACACAAAAACCACCCCAACACACACACACCCCACAACACACACCCCCCACACAACACACCCCCGCACACCCCCACAAACCACACACACACACACACACACACAAAACACAACCAACAGGGCACACACACACGCCCCACACACACAAAACACACACCCCACCACACACACCCAAACAACGTAAACCCCGTTTCGCAAATGTGCCCCCAGGGATTTAGCGTTTTTGTGGCTGTCCAAGATATTATTAGCGGTCTCGTACGGTGTGAATCGTGAACATCCCTACAAGAGTGTAATAGCTTTAAAGAGTGGGGAATAATGTGTTGGGATCAAAAATTTTTACAATTTAAATTTAAAAAATGAAATTTGAGGGGGGGGGGAAGCGTAAAGGGATCAGGGGATGGCCGCGTTTTGGAAAACAAAAAAATTTTTTAAAACAACGGAATTGGGGAAAAAGGGTTTCTTTTGGGGCGGGGGGTTTTAAAAAACCCCCCCTTGATTATTAACCACCAAGGTTTTTTGGGGTTTTTTAAAATTCTTAAAAAAGGGGTTAAGTACCTGAAGAAGAAAAATTAGTCAATCCCCGTGTTGGTTTTTTGGGGAATGTAGCTAACAACAGATTTGGGTTCCCCCCCCCCCTACCATAATATTGTACAAAAGAAAAAAGGGGAAATTACCAATTTCTTAA